TAAGCTGCTAATATAATGATTAAAATAATAAATAAAAGATAAGAGAGGAAGTAAAAAAATAAAATAATAGTTAATCATAAAAGGACCGGAAAAAAAGTGACATCAGGATTGGAGGAAGGCTTATTAACAACCTGCGATATGCAGATGACACAACCTTGCTTGCTGAAAGTGAGGAGGACTTGAAGCACTTGCTGATGAAGATCAAAGACTGCAGCCTTCAGTATGGATTACAACTCAATGTAAAGAAGACCCAAATCCTCACCACTGGATCATTAGGTAACATTATGATAAATAGAGAAACGGTTGAAGTTATCAAGGATGATACCATCTTGCTTAGATCCATAATCAATGCTCATGGAAGCAACAGTCAAGAGATCGAAGGATGATTGGGGAAATCTGCTGCACAAGATATCTCTATATTGAAAAGCAAGGATGTTACTTTGAGGACTTGGGTGCTCTTGACAGAAACCCTGGTATTTTCGATCTCGCTCATATCTATACGAAAATTGGACAATGAATAAGGAAGACCGGAGAAGAACTGATGCATTTGAATGGTGGTGCTGGGGAAGAATATTGAAAGTACCATGGACTGCTCAAAGGACAAACCGATCTGTCTTGGAAGAAGTGTGGCCAGAATGCTCCGTCGAGGCAAGGATGGTGACATTTCATCTTACATACTTTGGACATGTTGCTAGGAGAGACCAGTCCCTGGAGACCGACATCATGTTTGCTGAACTAGAGGGCCAGCGAAAACGAGGGAGGTCCCAGGGAGATGGATTGACACAAGGATGGGAACGACGGTGCAGACGGTGCAGGACCAGGCCGTGTGGGTTCCATTGTGCAGAAGGCCTCTGTGGGTCAGAAACAGCTCGATGGCACCTCACAACAGCAACAACAAAATAGTGCCTGCTGCATAACCAACACTTCAGTAGTGACTGGGAGATTTCACTTAGAACGTCCAATTTAATACAAAGCCCCCACGGGCCTTCCCTTCGCAGCATATAAGTCTGCACACCTCAGAGACAATCACACCCCTTCCTCACCCTTGGCATTCCGAGTCAATGACTCCGCCTGAGCCTGGCCACTTCCTCCCATGCCCTCTGTCTCTGCCCAATAATTACTGTCATTCCTCCGTCCTCCTCATTATCCAGAGGGATTACAGATCCCTTCTCCACACTAATTGCCAGAATAATCTCTAAAACAACCTGACCACACCCTTCCATATTACAAAGCCTCTCCTTCAGGATTGAGGCCAAGTTATTTATAGGGCAACTCATCCAACCAATACGGAAGCAGCGACGAGTGCTCTGACCAGGAGTCTAGACATTCTTATAGAAGCCCACGGATAGAGCGGGGAACCAAACCCCTGCCCACGCTGCGCTTACATTCGAAGGTTCCATCACAGCCTGGGCCCCATATCCCTTGACAGCCTGTGACACACTACGTAGCCAGAAGCCAGGCTCTGCCCCTAGCAAGTCACGCTGTCACCTGCGGAGCCTTCTCCACACGCCAACATGGAGATTGTAGTCCTCCGCCTCCCCCCACCCCTCCAGCTACAAGACCTAGGACCGGGGTCCTGGAAATTGAGGCTCCTCTGCCCTAGATGAAAGAGCCACAGCCCCTCCCCCACCTCCCGGATTGTGAGCTAAGAGTCCGGCAGGAGGCTAGGCGCTGGTACTAGACCACCTGGCCTAGGCTGGGCCCTTCCTCCGCACAGGAAGTGGGGGCGGAGTGCAGACCCCTACCCCCCATCTAGCAATGCCTTGTCCCCAGGTAAGCCATGAGGCCGGAAGGGCGAGCGATGAGCCTTCCGGGGTGCTAGTAGCGACCAGGCTCTGGGAAGAAGGCGATGGCCACTGGCCGGTCCTTGGCTCCTGTAGCCCAGGGGACCATGGCAGCGTGGGGCGGGGGTCAGGGAGCGCGGTCTGAGGGTGCAGCGTCCTGGAAGAGGTGGTCATTGGGGCTGTTGGCCTGGAGGGAAGAAGGCAGGCGGGGTGGGGGGAGGGCTGGGCCAGGGAAAGGTGTCTAAGTGGAGTGGGCGCCCGCTGGGAGTGGGGTCTCTTCCGGATTGCCCGCTAGCTGGCAGGCCGGCTCCGCCGAGATGGTGCGCATCGGCGCTGCACCCCGGCCGGGCCCTTTGGCAGCCCGCAGGCCCCTTGCCCTGCCTTTCCTCTTAGCGCCCACCAACCTCGGTTTCTTCCCCACCCCCATCCCCCCAGGCAGTCTTACCAAACTTCACCCCACCTCCCCACTGCCGGCGAGGCCTGTCGAAGATCAGACTCTGCAGCCGGCCACACTACACACGTTCTCCTCCCACTTCACCTGAGGCCACTTCACCTCTCTCCGGGGACCCAGCCTCCTC